ACACACACACACACACACACACACACACACACACACACACACACACACACACACACACTATTACCCACAGATACATGCAGACCACTCCCATGATACCAGGAAATACAACAGCCCTTTTTCAAAAATACTGGGAAAAAGCACAAAAGTCAGTGTTTATCTTTTACTGAATTCCATATCAGGAGTAACTGACACGTTATCCWGTGTTGGATCTTTATTTTTTCTTCTTCTTTCTTTTTTGCGAAAGTACATACATTACAAGGTAAACTGTCCCACCAAATCAGTCAAAAGAAAARAATTCCCCCCAGGAATGGACCATCTCACTGCTTCATTGACTCCACCTCCACTGGAACCTTTTAAACGTGCTGTGGCAAATTAAGTAACAAGGATTACAAACTGACAGGGTGGTTTTTTTTCCAGCTCCAGCTGGGTTTACRTAACCTCCTATCAAACCAGTTTTAAAAAAATGGATTTTTTTAAGCACGTTTGCTCATGAAAACAATGTAGGAAGCAAAGTAAATGCAAAAAGTAGAAAAGTGTTTTAAGCATTTAGTGCACATATTAAAAATAAAAATATCAGGAAGCAAAACAATAAACTAACAAATACCCATTAAAGCTCACTGTGTGAGCATAAAAATGACTTTCAGGTTTCACATAACATCATGCAAGCTAAAAAGAAAGACATTAAATAGCTTTTAGGATTTCCATTTTTTACTTTCATTTTACACTTTTAAGAAGAGCAAACAATGAAAAAGGTCTGATGTWCACATTTGGCTTTTATGTTACCATCCTTCAACAGACAGCAAACACTGTTTATAGCAACAAACTTTTTTTTTCCATTCTTTTTATGGGGATTTTCTTCGCATATTTTCTGCAAAATACTTTTAATTGTGAAATTATTGTGCAGTCACAGAGTTTCCAGGGGTAATTTGCTAACAGCAGACAAACACGTACACAATTGTTTTTGCCCACCTTTCACTTTTTGCCAGCAGTAGATATAAAAATAATCTGTTTCATAGAAATTCCACCGAAACATAGAAAATAATTTGAATAAAAAAGAGACCATCTTCATGTCCCTCCACAGTTGTCACCATCGATGAAGAGCCCTGTTTGCTCCTTCCTCTCCACACTAGAGAGAAAGTGGAGAAGCTGCTTTTCAGAGGCGACGAAGGCGACGATTCCAACCACATTCAGGACAGCGACTGGTGCAACCTGGCGGGCCTCCTGGGGTACGAGGAGGAGCGAATTGCCACCTTCCAGCAGGACGAGCATCCTGTGCGAGCGCTGCTTTCCGACTGGGCGAGCAAAGACTGCGCCAGCGTCGACGCGCTGTGCACGGCGCTGCGTAAGATCAACCGTGACGACGTCGCCCAGAGTCTAGTGCTCAGCCCGAGCGTTACAAAGCCCACTGCCACTTCTGTAGTCTAACTTTGTTTTATTGTGTGCAAAAACCCTGGAACCATGGAACTGAAAAAAAAAGGCACATTACGTATAATTCATGCTGCAACTGCTTAATGCTATCTTCTCATGAAGCCGCTGGTCTGCAGATTAATTAAGTAATAAAGGGAACGATGTAAAAATACACAGAAACTCTAAGAATATTAAATGAAAAATAATTTGAGGTAAGCCATAACATTTAGATAATATTCTAACATTTTAAAATTCACCATATAACTTTGTCTTATATGAATCATTCCATTTCAAAAACTGCCTTTCCCCATTTACAACATCCTGGTTTGACATTCTTTGAATTGTTGTCTTGATTCTGAAACATCCATGCTTTTGTAGCTTTGGCGGTCATAATCCGAGTTTGTTTCTTTTGCTCTGCGTTACCAAATACGAGGGAACATTTTAAAACCGATCCTGTCAACTGACATTATTTACGGGCCGCTTTAAAATGTTTTAAATTTAGCCTGACGAATGGCTTGTGTCTATAACTGCTCCCCTGATCAGGCCTGCATACCTCCGAAGGATCTGGATCTGTGCAAACGTGACACTCCGAGGAAGCACCTCCTGGGTTCGTTTGGAGTTGGACGTCTTCCCTTGCACAAAGTCCACAGAAGGGTCATTTGTTTCCTCTCATTTTCAAATTCGTGTTTGATGAAGGGAGCAGTAGCGCAAACGGACGTTATCTCGTCTTCATCGTGAGCGATGTGCTGCTCGACCTGGAGGTGTGCAGGTCAGGGCAACATGATTCCAGTGCAGCTACACGACACAGCTCAGAAAAGAGCAGGAACCCTTGAAGCATTGGAAATCCCACTGACAATCTTATACCCTRTATATATAGTGAAAAAGTAGACAAATTATAGGCATAGATTTCCTTGACATAGCCTGTAGCTTTGCATGCATGTGCTGTGGATAAAGCTCACCCTTTATATTCTTKGTGATTATTTGAGGTTACAGAACACTCCAAATCCTGCCACTGATTCTCATAAWGGGACCATATACTGGTTTTATTTGTAGCTTTGTCACTTAACTCTGTTACTAAAGTAAAGTATGTCATTTGGTTAGGTTAGGTTTAGGTTAGTCTACTGTCACAGACATAAGCATGCATGGACAAATCTCACACATWGTACAATCAGGAATTTAAATAAAAACCTAAAATTTACTAGTCTTTCCCTAACTATATTTAAATACATGCCCAGAGGCCTTACTAAGACCATGCTCTAGCTGTTGTTTAATATTGTATTGGAAGGAAAAAAAACAAGCGTTTGTTTCTTCTTTGTTTTGAACAATGATGTCTGGATTGGAGGAGGGTCAGAAAAATGGTTGGAGGTTCTGACGGGATCAAGCAGTTTCGAGAAAAGAGATCTCCATCAACCATCTGTTTTAGATACAAGCATGAAAGCGCGTTTTTACTTTGGGTTGTTTTGTGCCTTATTGAATTGAACATGTGTAATGTTTGCTTCTGCTTGTGGGAGAAAACATTTGAAGGATCAAACCGATGAACTGTGTTAAAACTCACTCAAACCTTTGCTGTCACCACTGTCATGCCTCAGTGTTTCTTTACATGAAGGTGTACTTACTGCTCTCCAAAGGCTGTCACTTAACTCCTAAATAACAGTTCTACAGTGGTTTGCAAAAGTATTCATACCCTTTGAACTTTTCCATATTTTGTCACATTACAACCACAAACATAAATAT